CCCCCCGTACCCAACGGGATAAGACAAGCAAAGCCGGACCCCGCTCATGCAGTCGGCAAGCCGTGTCATGTCCAGTAAGATTGTGGTTGACCTTTTCCCCGGGCAGGCCAGAGCAACGTCGGTGAGGGTCGTCAGGACCACCACAGCAACTTCAGCCACTGCAGAATGAGGCTAGCCCCTGGATCAGGTAACACCTGCTAAAGTCCTGGTACGGCCTCTTCATTTGCTCTTTTTGTCTTCTAAAGTATTGATAGCGGATCTTGAAAACCTTGATTTAAAATGGCTGCAGGTGTTTGTGAGACTATTGTGACCAACAAATAGCCCCTATTCATGGGAGAAGACTCAGACAGAGGGGTGGCCCTTTGGATCTCAAGGACAGTGCAGAATGCGGCTCCTTAATCCTTGCTGTTGCACAGAGAACTGACTTTATCTCAACACAAAGAGGGCCGGAGGGTGATCTTTGTGTCAGATAAATAGCCAGTTAAGTAGTTAGACCTGATGTAAATGTTTCTTCTGAGCTGTCCAAAAGAATGTGAAGGTCTCCCTGAGAACAGCCAGATCAGCATGGGGGAAGTGTATACATGGCTTAGCCCAACAAAAAATATAAAACCTCAACAACTAACAATGAAATTTCGAAGAGAGGAACGGGCTTGAGTTGGCATTTATCCACGTATTCCTTCCCAGCAATTGGGGACGCCCAGCATCATGACAGCGAGCATATTTGAGATCAGTAATGGCAATCACATTGGTATTGTGGTTGAACTGTCTAGCTAGATTTTGTTAAGTGTATACACTTGAATTGTGATTTCAGTATATTGCTGAATCACTCTGCTAAATCAAAAATCCCGTGTAACATCAAATTCTTTAAAAATAAACTTTCATATTAAACACTGCACTCTCCATATGCGTGGAATATCTAAAAGAAGCTGGTCAGAGAATACTGGACTCTCACGCTAATCCCCAGGCACAAAAGTTAAGGTCAGCTGGGACGTACTAGACATATATTTAAATGCACCATATGCTGCAATAGAAATGTGTCCATGAAGGCTCTGTTCTCCAGCCCTAAACAACTCAAAGAAGTTAGAGTCTGGAGACCTTCTGAGCAAAATACACCTATCTTCTTTACTACTTGATGCACTAATTTGCATTTCAAATTATTTTACATGAAGTACCTATCTGTCAGGATGATAGGCACTGTACAGAACTTGCAAACAGAAGAAGAAATATATAAAGCAATCAGAGAAGCCTTTTATTCAGCTGCTGCAGTAAATGACAGAAAGTCTCATTACGCAATTCCCCTAGCTCTTCTTAATACACCTGACCCTTAGAACTACATCACATGATTCATCAGTATTGTAGTTTGAAATACTTTAAAAACAGTGCAGTACTGCCTTATGGCAATGATTTCACACTACTGTTCTTGGGCACAAAGAGCTGTTGATTCCCAAAGCATAAATGTTACATCACACAACTTATCCTATGAGGACAACAAAAGAGAGATGTGAAAACAGAGTCGATACAGCAACTTCAACTTCCATTATCGTAAAACATTTTCAGAAATCAAATAGAAGAAAACATGCATATGGCAACACGAATAATTATAATACCTTCTTAACTTCTGATGGAAATTGTGCAAAATCCTGTTCAAGAGACTTTGCCCACTTTGTTAAGTACCTTTCAGTAATTCAGTAAGTGTTCTTGCATTGGCAAACCAGACTATATAGTGAGGGATGGGGGATAATGGGGAAACAGCAAAACAGATCCAAACATGATAGTGACTTTACCTGCTGTCGCTTCTCAAATTCTAACTTGATACGGGATTTGATGCAGTTGCACGTGTCCTGATAGGTCTGCTGCAGCGCAAGTTCCATGAGATGTTTGTGGTATGCTCCTGCCAAGTTCCCACAGATAAAAATGATTACATTTGCCAATATCTAGGGATTTAGGGAAAAAAAAAGAGCAAGTGTCAGGGAATTTATTTACACAAGTTAGCAGAATATAGCTTTTGTTTGAAGTTTATGTCTAGCAAAGGTTCACCTTTTACAAAGCCTTCAGAATGAGAGACCAAGTCCCCAAAGATAATACCATTTTAACGTGGGATGAAATAAGAATGCTGATGAACCACACGTTTGCCTATTTAATGAGGTATGTGCTTTCTCAAAAAGAAATTCAGTTCATGTTCTATATCCACTGCTGAGTATTAATTAGGTAGGAACATCATTTACTGGTGCTAAATGACAGCTATGGCTCCTAATGACATCACCAGAAGTCATGCCAAGCTCTTTCGGCAAAACAGTTTCTTTTGTAGTGCCACATGATCAAAAGGTGAAAAGATTCACCTACATCAACAGCCTGACCAGCATTTTATCTCAGCCTGACCCACTACTATCCTACAGCCAGCTGTTAAGTATTAACCTTGGTGATGGTAAATAATGTGTAAGAAAGTGAGATCTCTCTCTCTGCTGGAATACACTTTTATCTACTACCAAAATTTGCCTAAAACACAAAGCTAAATTAATAAAATTTAGGTTCAGGACCAGATGCTCAGTGGGCACAACAATACATGAACATAAGAATTAAGTTTGCTTCAAGAATCTTTTTTTGTTTATTAATTGTACGGAACATTTCAGAGCCAGGAGGCAAGAGAGGATGGAGGCAGTTCTTTCCTGTACTTCTAACTGCAAAAAGGACAGTATACTGCTTGGTGATGCTAGCACTTTCAACCATCCCCATTTTATCACTTCAAAGAAGAGAATCAGTCACCCACCCTAGGCGAATCAGAGCAAAATTAACACGTTAAAGAAATGAAACCAATTCTTAATTCAGTAAAAAAGATCATACTACAAGAGAACTGAGGTTGAGGATCCAGCTGCACCACGGTCAGTGTGGGTCCCTATCCATAAGGCCATTAGTGCTCCACATGGCCTGGATGGGAAGGACTATACCACGTAGTGCTTGTGGTCTGGAAGGTGGGGAGGAAGAAGGGAGGCTGCAATTTCATCAATTCTCCACAGTTAATCCAAACATGAGATTCATGATAGATTTCCACAGTGATCATTCACGGTTCTTTTTGATGTTCCTACTTATCAGATCAGTCTCTTGTGGACTGCTAGTAGTGAAAGAGCCAGCAATGCCAGAAAAAAAGGCAGATGGTATGCTACAGAGGTTCAAAGAAAAGAGACAGATTTTCCTATTAACAGAAATCCTTCTTTATTCACAAAAAGATACATAAAGTTTCAATGCTCCCTTTATAAATGAACATTTTAAAATTGCAGTTTTCAAGAACTGCTTTTATTTTCCTCACAAATGATAACATTGTTAAAGATGATATCTGTTTCTCCGTCTGCAATATGTTTGAAGTCTAATCTCTCACGGTTCCCCAGAGCTAGAAACAGAAACTGTACAGCTTTGCAACAACAGGATTGACGTGTTTCAGTCTGATAAAACTTTTCTTTCCCCAGAACTTTAAGATCATGTTTTTAAAATTTTCTAAAATACGTAATTCAAATATAAAAACAAGGATAAAAATCTACATTTCTCATTTTCTCCAAAGAACTTCTATTACTAAGTAGATAGACTAGGAGAGACTACAGTGCAGGGGTAGCGTGCTCCAGCTGCCCAACACAGCTACTATTTTACGCAATGAAACGGTAAAATGGGAACAAATGCCTGAAAATAAAGATTGCTGGGCACAGAAAATTCTCAGATATGTGGGAGGAAGATTTATTAACAAAATAAACACATTAACTTAACAGTTGATGACAGTAACTGACAGCATACTGTCAAAAAGAAACTTTATGTGAAGCTCGTTGTTCAAAAGCTGTACACTTCATAAAGTTATAGGCTATTTAATGCAAAACACCAGGAATACAACCAATCCAAATAAAGAAAATACTGTGAGAGCTAGATGGAGGAGTAAATTATGAGTATCATCTTCACAGCCATAGAAAAACAGATTACAGTTTTATGACTGAACCAGCTCAAGTGAGAAAATAGATGGAAACAAGTGACTGACAGGCAAGGCAGCTAATTAACCAGACTTGGCACATTCTCAATGGCGTAATTCAGCCCACATGAAGCTCTGCGCTGGCTTCCAGTACCTGAACTAGGCTGCTCAAAGGCAAGTCAGATATCTCAGCCATAGATATCTAGAGCTATTTACTGTAGCTCTAACGTAGGTGTATGAAGGATTATGGAGAGAGCAAATTCTTTTGGCCAGCATGGAGTTCATTCAGAAATGTGTCACTGGGTATTAGAGCAATTTTCCCAGAAATGGTTGAACTGTTTTCTAACTCATCCTCAAACTGAAAGGTTTTCGCTCGCTGTCTGGTGCTGCTACAGTGGCTATTTCTGTATCTGTCACTGAAGAGCAAGACACATAAAGATCATAGACTGTTTAAAGGAAAATATAATAAATGTAATTGAACAAAAAAAGCATATATATATTACTTCTTGCTCAGTATCTCCCTTCTCGAAGAACTTGCATTTTTTTCTGAACAGTGGCCTGTGGCTTCAACAAACAGGCTGTAGAAGTGCTCCATCCCAGGTTTGCTCTAAAGTCTCATAGGCATTCTCCTAGGAGGAACAGGTTCAAATTTTCTGGACTGAGGAAAACTTCAACCAAAGCTTCCCACTTCCTGAGCAAGTGCTCTAACTAATATGCAATTGTGCAAAAAGATTCCTCCTATTCCTCTGTCAGGCACCTGCTCGGAAAAGAAGATCCCACGCTCTTAATCCTACCTGGACTGAAGCACCTACAACAAAACCCTGAATCAGATTAGCTTCCTGCCTAGACATTTCTCCAGGCTAGGACTGCACAACTGTCTTCCCCCGCTCCGCCGCCAGATCCACGCTGGATGCCAAGAGAAGATGTGGTAGCTCTACTAGTGAGAAATTCTGCATCGTGTCGTAGGAGCTCTGACCAGCACTGCAGATAAAACTGCTGCCAAGAGCCTCTGTAAGGGAATCAAGGGGCACCTAAACACACTGCACAACATCGTTAGGACTCCTGTCAAGCAGGACAAGCCTGAGCTGTGGAAAAGCACATAACCAACCATGGTGACTAAGCAGCAGAAAACGTACAGGACAGCTGAAACAAAGGCAGTGTTGCCTAAACCTGGTTCATCCCCTTTGTAAACAAACATTGTATGAAGGAAAAACAAATTACACAAAACAAAGTAGAAATACACAAAGTCTCCTGGAAGCTACCTCTCAGTTCATCACGTGGAAACACTGAGTCACGTAGCAGAAGTTTTAGCCTTTCTGTACAGCAGGCTAAGAGACAAGACAATCTCCTGGGCCATCTGCATGCTAGAGACAGCCGTTAACTGTACGCTGTGGCCAAGTTCCTGCCCAAAAGATGCCTAAATTCCATGTCTAAAGAAGGTGATCTACATACGAGTCAAAGATTATGCAAGGAAGTCCATGCTACCACTGTAAAGTGACCTTAGGCACCATCCACCACTTTTAATCGCTAAAGGAACATGATCATGCCTGACCTCTGTTCCTTCTCTTTTGATCTGCGGAAACCTGTATGTACCTCCACGCAACGGGGCATTTTTTGAATTGTATTTTTACCCTCAAATGTGTGTATTTTTCATTACCAGTGAATATAAAATGGCCTGAAATATCATATATCGAGTGCTTAACTGACAAAATAGACTGTATTCAAAAGCAAATGAAGACAAAGTAGCTATTACTAACTTCTCGAGAGAAGTCTTGAGAGTTGCTCAGAAAATGTAGTGTATTATATAGATTACTGCTATGTACTATCTATCTATACACTGCTATACAGCTAATGCTGCATTTTCCTAGTTCAGCTGATGAAAGTTGCCTACAAAGGTGTATGTAGAGAAGGAAGCACTATGCTACATAAAAATAAAAATTATAAAGTAGATTGCTGGTTCTGAAAGATAAATCATTTGTTAAACATCTGAGAAACTGTTGTTCAGCTACTGACTATAAAAATCAAAGTCCTCTATAGTGCTTCCCTAACTGAAAAACCTCCAATTCATTCTTCCATTTTAGACACTGTTCAGATCCTTCGTGCAATTCTTCCATAAACAGAATTTTTACAATTTTTTAAAATAAATTAACTTAAAAAAATTAAATATTTTAACACTTAATAATTTAATTTAATAGCTATATTGCAGTTTTCCTCTGAACAGAAAAGCTGAGGAAACGGACTAGAGAAGATAGTCTATAATTTATGATATCTGCATGGAAATTAATGGGAGAAAAAAGAATTCTTGCATTACTGCCAAGGTCCAACTTCTTTGGCTCTGCAAAGTGAACAGTCTGTCTCCCCATTTGATCTTTATTTTGATGGTCTGTGGTGAGACTAGGGAATAAGTTCATGTCTATACTTCTTCTGGAATACGTCAGGTTTTAGACCTAGGCAAAATTTAGCTGGAAAGAAGAATACCGGGCACAGTTAAAAGAAGCTGCAAAGCAGAATTTAAAAAGGAAATGCTTAACAACAGTTCATAGTATTTGTTCTCATGGACACCATGGGCTATGACAAATTCCATTATTTTAATACATGTATTCAGAAGATTCTCCAACTTTTCCATGGAACGCTGTTGCCCATGGAGCTCTGGCAAGTCCTATGCTGTTGGCATGTTTTCTTTCATACTTGCAGAGCTACAGAGGTCCAAAGCTGGATTTCTAATGCTCTAATGCATTAGCAATATCTATAGCTGCGTGATGACTAACAGAAAGGGTCATGGCCTACAGTATTGCAAAAGGGAGATGGTTTGTCCATAAGGCAACTGCCCTTTCAAAAAAACAAGTAGTTTCAGGAGCAGCAAAATTAATGAAGTCTGGATTCCTATGGATTTACATCCTTTTATGCCTTTCTTTCTTTATGTACATAATAATCCCAACTCCTCAAACAGGCAAAAGAAAACTGTGTTATAGCTGGCCTAGAACTAGT